ATGTCACTCAATAGTCTAAAAGTTCAACGTTTCTATCTATGTCTCAACTAATAGCCACTACCAACGACCAAATGTATCACAACCATTAAATCATCAAATTCCACTGATTCCGATTTAATACAATGTGATGATTATGCAGTGTAGTTTTTGTTACTGTTTCCCAGTGTGACATTTTATTTTGTGTAACAAACAATATTCTTGCATTCAACTGACCTGACCTGAAATCAGCATGACATGTAGCATATGATTGACTATAAGCTTAAGTATGCTTGATATATATGATTTTATATAAAGTACCACGAGAAATGGGCGCTGCTCAATGGGATTGGAAATCCGCAAGTGAGAATGAATGAAGTTCATACTGTTCTATCATTGCAATCTTTCCGTTGGCTCTCATTGATACCGGCTCTTATGAAAGAAGCAATTAATTATACTGAAGACTTTCAGATCTCTTTTACATAACTATTCACGCAGATGTTGTAAATATTACAGATGACTCGAACACACAAATGGGTTAGGAAACATCAGTTATGCTTTTGCCCTGTCAAATCAATGAACAGATGTTGGTGATCGGCTGATTGAGCTGTAGTCACAAAACTGTTTACTTTCAGCATCTATCAACTTTAAGTACATCAATTATCACTATCCAAACTGGTGCCTTCGAATATCACCACGAAGATAGGGATGATAATGCATTATCAAAATGAGTCACTGTGCGAGATGATTGATGGAAGATAATCGCTTATTGTGTAGCACATTCCGTGACCTAGACATAAATCAGATATTTGTGCACATTTGTTTGTTCGAGAAGTAACACTTTCGATTTGGAGGGAAAGATTCGGATCTCAATGATGCTTGCTTAGGACGGTCAGAAGTAGCTGTAATTTTTGAGAGCCTCCACTAAATAGAACTGTACCATCTGAGTATTTGAGTCAGTGAATCTCGTGATAGATCAACCTCCCAAATAGTCAAACGGTTAGTGTGATCTCTGGAAGCATGTATATGATAAAATCAAATTAACATGCGCAAGGCGGACAACGTTGATGAATACCACCTGAAGTATTTAACTTGGATGACAGTTTGCCATAAGCTGTGACTCAACCAGTTTTCGAGTTGAGAATCTGTACAAGGTTAATATTATTCTTTGACACACAATTCAACGACAGGCACTGGCAGAGAACCTCATGGTGATGCCGTCTTAAGGTCAAGGAACCCAAATACTGTCGGACGTCAGAAAGTGTGTCTATGTTACGGAACCTGTCGATGTGTGAATATTCGGTCTATACATCCACGTACAGGTCCCAAAACAGACTGTTTTTCTCGGGTTAACTCTTGATGAGCTCTGGTTAGGCGCTGAAATAATATTGAGCCCAGTATTTTAGACACTGTTAGGTAGAGTGACTCCTCTGTGTTCGTTACAAGAGGACTTCTTTCATCCTCACGGAGTTAGACAATCAGAGGTCGAGACTAGTCAGATGGAAGAACACCAAGCTGCCAGATTCCAGCTGATATTCCAGTAATCTAACCGCTAAAGCCTAACTAAAATCCTTGAAATTATAAGCTGAAGGCCAGTTGAACTGTTCCTCAAAGTGTTATGCTCATCGATGCGATCTCCTAGGTTGAGGGTAAATAACAGCCCGATCTTTTTCCGAGGTAGTCTCACTAACAGCCTATGTTTACACCTTTTTCACCTCTTATCATGCTCAGAGCCATACGTGCTGAATTTTCAAGCGTTTATCAGTTCTGTAGATGCCGCTAAAAACCATTATTTCTTCTTAAACTTTTGATGACTTTTAGGTTACTTACAAATATCACTGTAGTCTTCACTGGGATTCGGATATCATACCAAGCCACTTTATAGGTTGAGTAACTATTTCTCGACATATGCTTGAGATATACCCTCAATTTTTTTTTTCAATATATCAGATACTACAGGGTTAGTGTTGTGACTGGTCGTCGCTATTTCTGATGCCTTAATCACTTAATACTTTTATTTGTAAAAAAACGAGGAACCACTACTGATTTCCAACATGTGAGAGTAAAAACACAAAGAATGATACGAAAGAAGAGTTATTAGCCTAAAAGCACTACGACAACGACCATTGTCGAAAATATATTCATTTATATGCTGAATGAAACACCCATTACTCGTGGTACTTTATATAAAATCATATATATCAAGCATACTTAAGCTTATAGTGAATCATATGCTACATGTCATGCTGATTTCAGGTCAGGTCAGTTGAATGCAAGAATATTGTTTGTTACACAAACTTAAATGTCACACTGGGAAACAGTAACAAAAACTACACTGCATAATCATCACATTGTATTAAATCGGAATCAGTGGAATTTGATGATTTAATGATTGTGATACATTTGGTCGTTGGTAGTGGCTATTAGTTGAGACATAGATAGAAACGTTGAACTTTTAGACTATTGAGTGACATATATTACTAGTCATGTGACAAGTTAATACTATTCTTGATTAGCACATTTCAATTCAAACATCGAAGATATGTTCCAAAAGTCAATTTAGTCATGAATAGAATGTTGTTAATTGAATGATGCTGATTGAATAGGTCAACGAATTAAAAAGAAACGTACTACTTAAATTTAACACGTTGCCATACCCCAACAACATCAAATTGTCAGTGTAAGTTCAAGAGTTGCATAAGTGGTAACATTGTAAGTGATAAAAGGAAATATTAACCATCAAATGTACGATCTGAGAGGAAAATAGGCGATGGTAGGATGAAAACGTAAGGTCTAAAGAAGACAAAATCTGGGTGAATTTGTGCCATTATTAATGAACCTGAGTTATGTCATAAACGCCTCTAACGATTGGTTACGATAATCAAGCAGATCCCAACGGGCGGGTCAACAGCCTCACATATGATTCAGTTCATAGCCAGTAATTGTATGGCCTGATTTGGTCACAAATTGTTTCCATTCAACCTACATCTACATCACACACCATCGTTTGTCCAGGCATTCGATGTGTGAGTCTGCGTAGAACGTTTCCATAATGTTAGTCGATAAATTTTCACGATCCTGTCAATTCACTTGCCATACTCACGATGGAATAGCCCTCTCCATGATCCAAACATATACGACCAATTGTTCGGAATTATTTATCACCTATTACTAGCAACCTATGAATATCCCTATTTTTAAGAGCGACATTTCTTAACCACAAAGTAGATCACAGTGAACTGCTATGCACTATACATTTCCCTTAGTTTGCAGGCGGATATCTCCCGTTCATCACTTAGGAGCGAAGTAATGTCGTACGTTAGTAGCTCTACGTATTTCAAGTCATAATCTTGTATGAACATTTAACTGCCGTTCCGAAACCAGCAAAAGATTACTGTTGGATGTCCCAAACATTTTATTAATACAAAGAATTCATCAACTTTGATCAAACAAATTGACTGTATTTTACCTACACTATCTACGAGTTATTTATGTGCAAAGAAGCATAAGGGGACATTTACTGATTCTCATCCACGAATGTCGTAATAGTGAATAATTCCACAGACGTCGGGTTATCTTGTAAAAATTATGTTTATACGAATATGTGTTTACAGTAGGGGCACATACTGCGTAATCACTACATTGAATGAAAACGGAATTTATGTTGAACAAAAATCATGATGAGTAAGCGTATGTAATTTTGACATCTTCATCCTGTTATGTCAATACCACATAATGTTTTTTATGAGGGATATAAGAAATAAATATTATAGGAAACTGTAAGCCTTTGAAATATCTTCTAGTTCCTATTCCAGGATTATCCTGATCTGAGACTTGTGTTACTGCTAGCTAATGTATATTGCTTTCCTTAGTAAATGTAATTTCATTGTGTGGACTTGCTATGTTATCGGCTCACATTTTTTTGTTCTCCTCTTTTCTAGCCCTCCTCACTCACAATATTCTACGCGCTTCTCTATAACACCAAATTACCTCCTGGTTAGACGAGAATCGCTAAGTACATAAGTTTCTGTAAATGAAACCCGACCAACAAATATCTCTGAAATTTTTACTTCCACAATCGTATAATGCTTAATTGTCGATCGACAACACCAAACTAGAGGATGTCACACACGTCCGAAACACAGTTTATCAACCATAATCTTTGCAAAGCCTCCTACCTTAGGCATAAATACAGACATTCAGTCGTAGCTCTATCCCTCAAATCATAGTTAACTCAGTTTCGTCTCTTATTACAGTTGATAAAGATTCTTGTTAAAAAACAGGTAACGTTCAACCGCAACAACCACAGTGGTTGGTAAATCTTCCTACACCAAACGTCAATCGATTACACAGTAATTCATGCGTCAAGCATAAAAGCGTTTGAAAACATTTTATCATCTTTCACAACTGATGTAGATCCAACCAAATCAAATATGATCCTAAAATGTTCAGCTTCACCTCCTCTTATCTACGTGGCCCTAGTATGGCCGAAAGTGTGGTGGGCCCGCCCTCCCTCTCGAAATGCTTTCACACGACCACGTGTATACAGCTTCTACCAGGGAAGTCCTACTCACTGCGTTCTCGTACCAAGGGTGTTTTTTACGAAAATGAGAGGACGAAAAGCGAATGTCCGGCGCTTTGACCGGATCCCAAACCAATGGTGCACATAGGCTCCAGCATCCTGCGGGAACACATGGCGTATGAACCAATTGTTGGCCACCGGCTATATGGGACTGCATCTCCTTACGATGTTCCACTGCCTTGTGGGTCAGACCATTAGGTCAAAGGCCCGGGGTGTGGCCCCCTAAGAAAACCATCTGCTTCGGTCTAGACGCCCGGGAAGTATCACAGACCACACACAATATGATGGTGTGGCGCATATGTATTTGGCGCCCTCTTGTACCAATATTTATGTGTTCAAATAAAATAAAAATACTAAATAGTAAAACTACATTTGGTGCAAAATATTTGAAATGAACTGAAAAGATAAATAATGTACATAGCTGAATCAACATTCCACTTGGTTACAACAATATTCTTATTGGTAGATTACGGACTAGAAGGTTAAATTCAAGCAGACCAGGAAAGTACCAATAGTTTCCTGTAACACATCGGCTGAAAATCATTAAATTATCATTTATCTTGTCATCACTATCACCAGTCATTCGATCCAACATGAAATCGAAATTCTTTGTATCTGCTGCGTATGCTATGAATAAGAGACCAGCACCTCCAGATAAAGTTCCAAATGGTTGAGCTTGCCGAACAATTTTATGTTTCTTCTTAGCTTTAAACTCGTCAGCTGTCAGTATGAGATGAAAACAACAGTTATTGACAATTGTAATGAAACGTCAAAACAGATTTTACTATATTCAACACACAAGATGTGAGTGCCAAATAATCAAATACTATTTCTTCAATATAAAAATACAAATTCAAATCCATGGAACCAAGGTCTCTCAGAAATAGGGTCAATGAGGAAACCATTCATAAACCCGTGAGAATCCTCAACATATGTCACATTCAAGTGTGGAAATGAATGCTAACTAATCTACCATTGGGACAGATTAGTAGGAATTCAGTGTTAAGTAATACAGATTGATGTAAAGCAAACAGATTTCTACATACTTTATTCAACAATGGTACATTGCTCAAATTACCATACATGTGGGATATCTCAACGAATTATTAATTTGGTTTCAGAGATATGGACGGCTGAATAAAAAGCACTGGCCAAATCCAAGAGTTAAATGACCTTCAATCCACTCGCTCCCTGGCCGAGTAGTGTATAAGAATTTCTAATGAACTTCATATGTAGATGAGACATCTCTCAATGGCAATCTAAACCTTAACTATAGGTACATCTTCACTGAACATCTAAAGAAATTCTGTAAAATGTTTTATGAAGTAATGAAATACTCTAAAGAATATTCACATAGAAACGTAATATAAACATGATACAGTTATTGCTTACATCCAACCATTCTGGCAACATGTGATGTATTCGGTTTTCTTATCAACTCAAAGCTGTCTTTCAGAGTTCGACCAATCCATTGTTCTTTTGTCTCATCTACAAAACAAAATATGTGACAATAAACTCTCAAGACAATTGTCATGATCATGCTTCCTTGAATATTACTTGGAGAGTGAATACACTCGAATGATTCTACTTCGTACATCCATAAAAAGTTAAAAATTCACTGTTCTGCCGATTTACAAGTGTTAATAAATCACAGTTTGGCATCGTTTTAGCGCCTTCATTATGAGTTCTGTTTCAGTACCATCTACAGTATACACAATCAAGAAGTCACGTTTATCTAGGATAAAATCACAAATAAAAAAATGGACATGGAGGTTGAAAACATCGAAATTTACAAAACATGTCATTAATTATCGCATTTGAGTGTTGTGTTGTACACTAACCTTTTCAGATATCAGCGAACGGACTGAATAGTCATGTTGCATTACAGGCACAAATAAGAGTTACACGGCCAACTACACGGATGAGATTATCCTTGTCATGTAAACCAACTAAAATTGGAATCAGCAACCAGAACACATCGTTAAGCAATAGTCACTGATCTATTCTTACATTTGATATAGCTGTGTATACACATATGACTGCTTAATTAGATAACCAACCAGCGTTAATGAACCATACATAGAATGCAATAACTACATATGAATGAACAGTAAACATTATTTGCAATAGTTGCTTAAGAGAGGAAGCGTTTGTTTAGAACTACACATTTCATCACTACTCCAGATCACTAAACACAGATTTCATGACCAATTAAATAAAGAAGTTATCTATCGAGTGACAATAATTTTATTCACAGTATTTACATCACAAAGCTACCAATGATTATTCACGAATACTGGTCTCAGTTGACTTCTTCGTTAAAATGTATATAGAATCTAGAGGCAACTAATGCTTTCTGTGGACACCTAAACTGAATTATAAATCAACACAATTAACTGGATATAGAATGACAATAGTTAATCTAAGCCGATCAGCCATAAAGAAAAACAAACGTAGACAGGATGGCACATTCAACGTAAACTCAAAACAGCAATTCCAATTGATCAACCATAGATGATTACTATTCATTCAAAAGGATATCTCTTACCACCTGTTTCCTGGAGCAAACTCATATTATGAACCCACTTCTGAACAATGGCGTAACTTCCACCTGTTCGTTTGTTGATCGCCACCTCTGCTCGTTCATCCAAACACTTAGGATTCTCCTTGCCTCATTACAAAATAGAAAACATATTATAAATGTTAAGATTATGTTGTATCAAAACTAGTTTTCATCATACGTATTATGCGAAACGTTGAGCTAAAAATTTTCATCACTAGTAATGTATCATGATCACACAAATGGTCGTCGTGGTCCAATAGCTCTCAACATGTGAGTAGATGAAAGCTAGCTAGCAAACATTCCACCAACTTGATAACAATTTACATAAACCTATTACCAATCATTAATAATCACACTCAATATTCATACAAACTGAAACTTGTTCTTTATCGATTATGCCAATGAATATTTTCAGCAGCACACCATGAAAATAATGAAATCCTTGATAAAAACTTAGTATATATATTACTCACTTTCGCAGAATATGCATTGATTTCACACCAATCAACTAATTTGAATTGAGTAGGCAATTTTTTTCAACCACGCTCAACTCAAAGAAATACATAAGCTCATTACAAATAAGATCATTTAGATTGATTCTCAAAGCGATTCTCATAAGAAGATTCATCAACACCATAGGTATGACATTCAGTCAATTTACTTCTAATGAAGAGAACCGTTCAAATTTTTTCATTTATGAGGAAGATACTGAAAACCATAAGAAGGTTTGGTTGATTTATGGCTATCTGACTGAGGTTTCGAACAGAACACACATTCAAGAGAGAAGTAATACTTGAGTGCTCTTAATGACCTGAAAAGTAAACTACATTGTTAAACACTTTGCAATTTATAACCACTAACATGAAACTACAATTTACTTAATTACGTACCATCAACGAATTCACTCAAATCACGCCTATCCCGATATACCCAACCGTAAATATCTTCAAATTATCCACACATCCACGCGGCATATTTTGAATGATGGATTTTGCCAGATCAAACAACATGCCATGATCATTACATTTTGCATGAACAAATATATCACCACCTACAACATTAATAAAAGTTGTTCCGCGGTGAAAGTTAAAATTATCCGAAAGCCATGTAAATTACTTACAAAACCCTACACGATTAAATTGAAGAATATTTTACTCACTTAAATTGTGACAATAAATCCTGAAGACTTGCAAATAAGTATAATTCAACTTACCAGTTTTAGGTAGTTCACCATACTTTCCAGATCTTTCACGATATTCATAGTTTTTGATGCCCCTGAAACGGAAACGAGGACTGATCTTTCTGAAATAGTCGATTCCGAAACCAACACCGTATAGAATCTCATTATATTTTTCACACATGTTACGCGGACAAATCTGACTTATATATTTCTACAATGAATGAATAAAGCATACACAGCATGTTGATTAAGCACTTTATTGAATCAAAATTGACCACGAAGCTTGAAATATGTTCAGTAGAATTTAAGCGTCCAAACGATTATTGTGTACAAATATCTTTATGAATTTTTCCGACAGGTTTAGAATAAGCCTAGCACAACAAAGTCGGTTATTCTCAATTACCATCCTTTACAGCCTAACTCTATGATCTTCAAATCATGTTCAAACGAACGAACAGGTTTATCACGTTACATCATTAGCTTCAACGATGATAATTTAGGTCTCGAAAGGAAACGCGTTTGGTGCAATATAAGTAATATAATGACAGTACGGTATCAAACAGAGACACTAACAAGGTTAACATTCAATCTTCATCTACTTTATGCAGATTTTACTTTGTTTCGTTTCATATTATTTACGTCAGCGAGATAACACAAGTTTCCAATGCATTTGTGATCGATTCCAGGTCACGTCGACTGCAAAACGGCAAAAGTACGTTCTTTGATGACTACCGCTATCAACATCACTTGCATCACACAGAGTATCCAAGGCGGGGATGAATCAGGCATGTGATCATCACAATTCCCTTCATTTCATTTTATAATACATATGCCTTAGTTGTTAACTGACCACTACGTTACACGTTACCATATTATACGATATTTTAACTCCACCCTTTTCCTGTCAGCCGCATTTTTGCATGATGTGCTCATGTCTCAAATCAAGCAGGAATCGGTAACAGGACATAGTTGAAAACCATAGCGAATAATTTCTGTCTACATATAGAAACACAATCGCCTGCACACAATCTTTGCATGAAATTAAAAGATTCAAAATTATATAAAATACCTCGATTTTTCCAACGGATCCCAAACATTCTCGCGATGCGTTGGAATTCAAGTGGATTGTAAGATATAAAGCATGAGATTTAATATCACTAACAACCTGACAAAATAAAACGTTTAGGAAACGTGAACGCTTACTGATCGTTGAGGGACAATGTGAAGGAGATTCGCAGTCGCAAAGTTTGATTTCGCGTTTGGACAAATTAAATTTAAATTGCAACTGATTAGTATGCACAGGAGGCATACAAACTTCCTTATGCAACGGCACATACACATACTGATGACTTCCCAGCACTTCGGAAAGACCTACAGTAGAACATAACACCACTTTCTTAGACAACATACCCCAAGCAAGAACTAGTGTTAACTGCATGACCCTGAGGTTTAATTTAGTTCAAATACTATCAATCGACCTTCAACATTTTAAACTCTAATCCAATAAACAATGTTTCAATCGCGAATTAGAATGAACCAGATTATTTGTTTGATCTTACTTACCAATGTCATGCTTCAGAATCTAAATATAAGCGAATTTTTTGTGGTCTCATCGATGTACACTTGTAGACTGTGATTTTCTTACGACTGACCGTTTATCGTAAGTTTTAGATTGAGATTTCTATTCGATATACAAATTGTATAACTCTTATCAGATAGCTAACAGTTACATGCTATTACTCAGATAATATGTACCTGTCATTGAGTTTTAATCACAGATATTCCACGTATGGGAAAATCAGTTCATAACGTGAATATTGGCTCGCTTATATCCTGCTTCCTATTTAAATTAAATACAAACTCTCAAAATAACGGAAATTTTTGGATATTATATACAATATGAAACATTCCTGTAGCACACCTGTTTATTTGAATTGAATTTGTCGCGTTCACTTCTTGTTAATTCAGCACGACCCTGGTATTTCGTTATACCCTATGACTAACATTCCATTTAAGAGGTTGCGCTTATTCCAGTCAGTTTGGTGGTTATTTTAGATTTGTATATCTTGTAATTTGATTAAGTGCGTTTAACTCAATATAATAGGGTTTCTGGATTTTAGAAGCTACCGCATTGTCAGTTTGGAAATAGGTTGGTCACAATATAAAGATAATCAAATGAAAAATCGAATGCGGATAAAAGACGATTATTACGAGAGTAGAAAATATCTTAATTAGTTAATAGTGTGAAATAAAGTGGAGTTAGACTTCATGTAGAATGCTGTTTATATCCATGTTTACATTCAGTCGTTCATTAACCAGCACTTATACTATAACCAATACTGAAAGTAATGTGACATTTCGGCCGCGTTATGCGCCTCTTCTATTTCCTTCTTTGAAGATTGGGAAAATGTAGCCTACAGAGACTGCTAATTTATTATAGATCGCTTTTGGTGTTACCTCAGATATTCCAGTTTCATTCTCTTAAAAGCTCTGATTCTCAAATAAAGGACGCGTTCGGCATGCGTGAAAGAAGTTATGTGCTACGATATAAGTTGACAAGCTATTTAAGTATGTGACAGTGATGGAGTATCTCCGAATACGCTCTATGTGTTAGTCATCATCGAATAAGAATCACGCATTGCGTGAGTTATTAATTCTTTTTTGGGCTGCAAAATCCGAACTGACATGTTCCTTTTTAGTGAACTGATCGAACCAACACTCCTATGGGAGTCAATTCCAGAAAGAATCTCATGTAAAAACTTGAATTGATTAGTTAAGAGCTGGTCGTAAACATCTTGGTAATGTCAAAACATTTTAGCTTAAGTGTTCACTCACTTCCCTATTTTGTGTAGGTGTTGTATTCCCTACTTTTCTACATTGAATGTTGAATAAGTTTATGTGTTTGGAAAGATAAATTGTTTCCATAACTGTTTTGTCCCACGATCTTAATAAATACCTATTCACTGGTAATTTTGTTTCTTCTATTGACAGAACGAGGAGTGCCCAATATCACAAAACACACACTGTCAGCCGCCACCTGTCTAGCGGCCATGGACTGTGTTGAAGATGCTCTCTATGCTCTTATGCAGCTATGATATGAGGCGTCCACATAAATCCGAAGTATCACCTCTGTGTCCACATAAAATATGACTGCATCACAGTGGTTACTTCTTGTTTGTGTACGGGTGTAGATACTTTCTACCAGTAACTGACCATTTGCTAGCAAATAGACTAAATTGGAAAGTTCTACATTCCACTCTATTTTCGTGAAGCCACTCATATATTCAGTCGGCCTTGAACATTCTGGTTGTCGCATACTTTCCGTGAAACTACCTGGTTAGGGTTGTATCCTGCTTGCCGAGTATTAGGAATTATGTACTGAAGTTCCCAAACTCAAGAACTTGATCAAATAGTGGCCTCTAGTGTTGACTATATTACCTTCCCTTTTCGGGTTCAACACATGCGGTGCAGCGACCGAATAGCCAATATTCGGTTGGAACAACGGACTGACGAACTATAAATTTATTCGATTAGAACAGACCGATTTCCTCTGTATAGCTCACAGTGCGTCTTTGAGATACTCGTATTATATTATATCAAAACACAAACTCTGTGCTCAATATAAACGGTTCTAATTAAGAAAACATAACAAATTACATCAAAAATACAAAATACCTCAAACGGTACAGCCTGTGCTATACAGTCAGAAGTTCTCTAACGCAAAGTATCGCGCTAAACAATAAAAGAGACAGCTAATACTGAAGGGTTCGATAACTGAGAATCAATACAAATATTCCCAATTAGATGGGATCGAATATCTATCTGCCGGGATTGCAGCAATTCTACCAAGCAGACAGTCAGAAGGTTAACAGTCACGAACTGAACCATGCCGTGACCTTGAGCTTAGTCAAACACGACCATACTGTCAATGGTCCGGCAAAATGCAATGGGAAATTACGTAATAAAAAATAAGTCTTTAATCAAAATCTTATAATAAAGGCTCAAACGGGGAAGACTGAAGAACAAAAGACATGGTTAAACGAGATCGGAACAAAGGTTGGAATGCAGAAAATGGAGAAGGAACAAATAAATGAAAATACTGTTCGACAAAGAAGCTGCAGAGGGATTTTCACTGTTCTCTTTCCGTTACATGCTGTGTGTCGGAATTTTCATCCAATCAAGAACGTTATGACGTCCATAACTGCACAACACAAGCGTGATTTCTTCAACACGGGTGATTTGTTACCATGTGTTGTTGCAACTTCGAAGTGACTGTTCATACAGTTCGTAATGCCATGAAAACATATCTTCTTATCCATAATGACTGTAGGCAGGCATGTTCCGGTTAGGGCTGTGATCCTAATATACAAATCAAAGCACATGTTTCTGATGTCAGCCTATATTCCTCTTGCGTGCTACAGAAGCCTGGATGATTTATCGCACAACTCGGTGCTGCTTGATAGCATCATTAGTCTTCTTGCTCAATGCAACGTGTCGTTAAAGTGGGCTGATCAGTTCCGTGGGATGCGGACAGTGTTGGTTTTGGCACGTATGACGTGTCCTGTTAAGGAGACCGTGGTCCCTATGTTCTGTGCTGTGGGTTGCTGGCCAAGGTCAACTGGCATCACGATGTGCATGGTTGAGGCTTCGCGATATGACCATAGTGGTGGTTCATCGATATGTGTCACGCCTAAATGGTCTCAGTTAAATCCTCACGGTTTCATAGGTTCACATTCATAAATTAAAGAGACTCACTGATTGAAAAATGTGACCGACTAAGTAGCCTGGACGTATTAATTTTCATGAAGTCCTAGACGTCTACTTTACAATGCATATCGTGTTCGTGATCTCCATCGCGACCATCACATTCTAATTCAGGCACTTCATGAATCACCACGTTGGTTGGTTCTCGGTTGTTTGTTGTTCATTATTTCGGACTCAGGAGAAGGATTATTTCATCGATGCTACAACTTTGTTATTTCATCTGGTGTATTGTCTATTCATTCAGAGCAAGCGCACAAGAACGACAAACAAGCGTAACATAGTATAGTCCGTAGTACAACCTTAGTAGGGCAGCATCAAAACAATAGTTAACCCGGCCACAGCAGAAGTTACATTCGGATGCCGAGTCGCTGGTTCTAACGAGCAATGTGTTACTTCCTTACATCCACACGCCTGTCACTACTCGTGAAGAAGCGTAGGCAGCCCACTAGCACTCTTCACTCAAACCTGTCCAGCTTCTTCCAGTTGTTATTCATCCTTTTCATATCTGCTTCTACTTCCCGACGTAACGTGTTACTTGACCTTCCTCTTCTCCGCATCACTTAAGGATTCAAAGTATGGCTTGCCTCGTGATGCAGTTTTATGATTTGTGTAATTTATGTCCCATCCATTTTTATCATCTTTCCTAATTTCTCTTCAGCTGCAAGGTGGTTTGCTCTCTCCCACAGAAGGCTGTCGCAGAGACTATATACGCGTGGCCATGTGAGAGCATTTCGAGAGCGAGAGCGGACTCTCACCACTCTCGGCCGTACCAGAGCATTTTGGTGCTCTGTATAGTTCATGTTGTGTTTTGGTCGTAAGAGGAAAGTGCCTCGCACATAAGACGTTTTACCGGTTCTGTTTAAAAAGGAGAAACTAATTAAGTCCCAGATTGCACGAAACGCGCGTCCTTGACTTCACTGCAAATCACCATCCAAATTCGCTGATAAACGAATGTTATATTGAGTAAATTGTCACGATAAAAATATGACAAAATATTGCACTGAGTAATTATTATATTCACAGTTTAAAGTGAAAGTGACGGTGAAAGAAATACCAAGAGATAAATACGGGATTTTTGTGTAATTTTACCCTCGACGGGTAATTCACTTCTATACGGGGATACATAACGTGTAAACCACTGAATCGAAGTCCAACGGATTAATTGTCTAACTTCACTCAATCAATGATCATGTGTTTAAATGTGAAAATACCACAATCTCCACTGGTCCTCATACTGATAAGGTAAAATAAATGATGAGATTATATCATGTTTATTACACGAATATGAAATCCAATATTTCTGGTAACGTTCACCTTCAAACTACGTGATTGTGATTCATTGTCTTCATTTGAAGCTTTCATAAAACGCACAAATGATCAGTGATTATTTAAAGGTACCAAGATTTTATCATGTTTGATGCATGTGAGAATCTTAAGATGTTTTCAGTTGTTGTTTTAGTTCAACCAATGAACTTGTCTAGCGAATGTTTGTTTATGACTTCAAAATACGTTCATCAAGGGCTGATGGCCATTCATGCATGAAAATAGTTTCGTTGAAGTGAATGTATGGTTAATATTCATGAATTGCTAACATTTATTAGCATGAA